ATGCTATAGTGTTCCTGTCTCTAGTTTTTTACAGGAACCCCCATCCACCATAAATATTAAGAAAATAAAGGTTTTCCTAACCTTTTACCAGTGCCAAAAAAGCTGTTTCTAGAACTGAGAGAGAAATGTCATTGAGGAGGCATGGTCAATCCAATGCTTTTCAAAGAGATGGACCATGGACCTGATGTGCATCCATCTGTCACATTTGCTGGCAGTACTCACCTGTCCCAGGGCATCTACAACACCCTTGAGGTCAGTCTGCAGTGTTTATAGTGCCTGTGGCTGCTGCACCCCAGTCTGCATACTCTGAACCTCGGTTCACAGCCAGGAAACTGAGAGTGACTGCTCCAGCATTCCAAGGTGGCAGCCGCTGCATGAGGAGACTGGTCTGCAGGTCAGAGGTTGGAGGAGGTGTGGCTGAGGAGCGGAGCCAGGACAATGATGCATCCAAGATGGTGCTGAGTCCCACAGTTATCACACTGACCTCAGGTAACCCCTCCTACAGATGAGACCAGGTTATGTGATTGAGCCATTCCTTTATAAGCAGAGCACACCTTTCAGTCAGTGCTTGGTTGTTTTGTTGTCTGCCATAGAACTCCTAGTGTTTGTTTCCCTGTGTTTCCTGTCCTTAATGGTTTCCTGACTTTGCCTGCTCTCTGGATTTTGCTGATTTATGCCTGCTCTGACCTCTGGACCATCTGACTCAGATTTCTGCCTGACCCTTCTTCAGATACCTTTGCCTTGGATTTATCTGTTATTTAATTAAAGCCACCGTTCCACCACTGACCCGACAGAATCATGTTCTCAATCTCAGGATCTCTTTGGATCATGCTTGTTAGGGAGGGCTGTCACTGCACCTGAGGTCCAGGACTGAACGTGACCCAGTGGTTTGTTACACCATTCAAATTCCCCATAGGATCACACTGTAATTATCTTCTACAGTCTTTTGCATCATTTGACAACGTTTTAATCAGACAGTGAACCAGAAGCACCTCTAATGGCTGTTAGTATGAGAGCCACTAGAGGTTGATTTAAACCTGCAAAGTAAACATTGTAGTTTTTAAAAATATGCACTGTTTCACACTGCAGGGTTAAAATGACAGGACCACTGCAACCAGACCAATAAACTGAGAAGAAGTGGACTTTAGTGTTCCTTTAATAATGAAAGACAATCTGCACATGGATGTGAAACATTTTGGCAGTCAAAGGAGTAAGTATACAGTGCGTTATCCTTTACACTGCAATTATATTTGATAAAAGGTTCTGATTTGTCACTGGACACAACAGGGGCCAAGTAACCTCCCATGGAGTTCATAAATGGATAAATACAATTATTCCTTGGGGCTTCCACATGAATGTTTTAAGGAATTTAATCAGCTGTCGTAGCAACAAGAACAAAGATGCAGATGTTTTTAATGCTGGTGTATCCAACTTATCGGTTACTGTGATAATTGGCAGTTTTCTGTTGACATCACTTGAGGGTTTATCATTTGCATCCGCATGTTTCATTAAATCTTTATGTAGCACAAGAACAGCTTATTATTGAGTAACCGCCATTATCTTCAATTTTCAACATAAATGACCATTGGAAAGTATTGCATGTGTACAGACGAATATAACATGACGAGACAACTGGAAGATGGAACCTCCAAATTATATTATTATACCTTGTATACTTGTGTCCTCATTGAGTCTCAGTTGCATACAGAAAAGGGAAGGCCAATAATGACTTGTATTTAGAGAAAGGAAGCATAAAAACAAAACAAAAGATAAAATAATTAGTAAATGGTCCCAAAATTCAACCCTATGACAAAGGTTGATTTTTTGAGCTCTGTTCACAAAGGTCAATGTTTTAAAACTGCTTAAAAAAATAAAAAATGTAACCTGTAAAAGAAAATAATTATAATTTGAAGTCAGTTTGCTGTTTGAGGTCTACCCATAATAAGTTTGGAAGAAAATTAATGAAAAGAAAGGAAAAACAAATAATTTTAATAGGTCTTAATATCCAGATTAAGTTTGCTGGCTTTTGTGGAGAGTCACTTCTGTATTATGGGAGACATAAAAGAGAAGCCAGTTTTTGATCGTACCTTTCTGAAACACTTAACTATGATTATTGTAATTATTATTCACATCTTTATGATGACAACATTTCACAGCAGTTTACAAAACAGTGGAATATACAGTATAACAACAAACAATTCACAGACAATAATGTTAACAGATACAGGAGGGGGAATGGTGTGCTAGGGTGACAGTAATAAAAGTGATGTAACAAAAATGCCCACTAACAGCAATGTGTCAGCAGATAAATAGGATACAATTAAAATAAGTAAATATTATAACCAGGAATGATTATTTAGATTTTCAATACACAATTGTAAACTCACTTACTGTGTAAATTATTATAATTTTTTTAAAAGGGCTTTATTAATGGGACACACAAATTGGAGAGAGATGGCTACAATATATACATAAATACACCCAGAAGGACATAGAATGACCTGCACATGGACACAATGATACATATAACAGGGAGGCGCATGGCAGAGCTAGAAATATTGACAGACACAGTCCAGAGCAGAATATGTAGAAGAAATGCATGTGCACTCAAAGTTGTATTCGTGAGCAGACTTTAATGGTCTCAAAGTAAATAACAATGTTTCAGCTCTGCTACTGAGACTTTATCAACTGTTAGTACATCTCTCCCAATGTCTCTCAACATTGACCACTCTGCATCAAGAATACAACCTCTTTAGGTTCCATAAATGGTCCACAATGTATCTACAATCAAAGCCCATACACAGTTATGCAAGTTTGATTGTAGTGTAAATGTCCGATGTTAAATGTGTAACATTGAGTTGTTTCTTAGGTCATGGAGTATTTTCAGTGAGTTCTACCTCAAAGAACACTTTATCAATAATAATGTACATTATATCAAAATCTACAGAAATGCGGTCATTGCTTTCTATAGCCATGTATAAGAGCCAAAGTGTTTCCTTTTTAGAAAATCAGAAAATCCATTTTTATTCCTTGTATTAAGTCTAATATATTGTGCTTTTTCAAAACTTTCTATTCTACTCTGTTATAGAATAGTGTTAGATAAGGTTGATTTTTTCTGTTATTGCTTTTGTAAGCTGCATTTGTGAGTTTTCTAATTATCCTCCAAATATATACTTTGTCCCGATGGCACATCCTAATAAATAGATTTCAAACTTTTTTGCCACAGGAAATAAAATTATTGATTCTAATTTTTTCACCCATTACTCTAGCAAGGAAATCAATATTTTAGGATTGTCTATTATAAACCTGAGAGTGTATGAGTATGGAAAAAAAACTATTTGTTTTTCAATGTTGTAGTAAATCTAGTATTATTGATTAGATATTTAATTCCTTATCTCAAATTTGATGATTAATTATTTCCTAAATTCATATTTCATTTTTAAAATTTAATTTCATATTGATTACCAGAACATTCCTCTTCAAATTCTTATTTAATACAAACCAATTGTTCATATGTGTCTTTATTTAACTTGGTTTGCAAAACTCCATTTAATAACTACTATATGTCATTTTATTTCCATTCTGGATCATTGGTTCTTTTTTTAGAATAGTAGATATACTCAACATAGATGACATTCATGCCACGATTGTCCTCTCTTTATTTTTGTTAAAAAAAAGTAATAAAGTCTAAGCTCTTGTTTAAAATAAAAGGCCATATTCACTAAACCAAAAATAGGGAAGTGCAAATTTTAGAAAATCTCCAATTTAGTTTTTTTCCCATCTAAAGTGTTATAAATAATTAGATTAAACTTAAATTGTTTTCTTTTCATGCATTTTAAGTGGAGTATCTACTGACATTTTTTTTAATGAATATTTATAATTACATAGTAAGTTCTATGTGGACATTTTTCATATCGCATAGATCAAGGATAGGTTAGGTAACCTTTGGCATTTCAGTTGTTGTGCACTACCCATCCCATAATACTTTTACAGCCATAATGCTGGCAAAAGCCTCAGGGTATATGTAGTCCAGAACTTCTGGTGTGTGGAAGGTTGACAACACAGTGTATTTTAGCTGTAGGTCCACCCCCTTTAACTAAACTTTTGTCATTTTCATTAAACAAAATTGCTACCTTATCCACAACTGCTGCAACACAAAGACCTTACTACAAATTACTCTGAGTCCTAAACATCTTCTCTTCTGATCCATAGTCTGATAGAAATTGCTGGTGCTGTAACTAACTCTAGGTAAAGAGCTCTAAGTAATAGAAACAGTGGATCAAGTGCTAGATCAGTTCTGTAGATATGTAGCAGAAACAATCCTGCTAAGGGTCTCTTTTCCTGGCTGAAGAATTGATAATAATAAAAATAATAATAATAATATCGTCATATAAAAAAGTGCTCTGTTTTCTCCAAATATATTCCTTGTTACTGTCTATTCCCACGATATGCTCGACTCCTGTCTAACATGTATTATGCAAATCACTGCAAAAATAAAGAATTATACATAAAAATGATAATAGTTCACAGTAGGTGGATGGTTGTGCTTCATTCAATAAAGCTTTACACCAGCTCAGAGATTCTGTGCCTGGATGGAACAATCCTCGCCTGAGGATATTGGTATGTCCTCCTCTGTGGAATGTAAGGCCTTCACTGGACAAGTAATAGAACCTTGAATAATGGTACAGATTCCACTTTCAGGTGTCCCAATCAGGGGGGGTCAGCAGCAGCACATGTAAATAAAAGTACAAAACAAAGTGATCTCTATAAATGATACAGTACAGGGAAAGAAATCGATATTTCTCACTTTTCTGATAGCAATCTGACGGTATTGCTTAATCCTTAGCACCTTAGTGAAATATATCCCCACTACAGATATCACCAGGAGAGGTGTATCACAGATGAGATATCCAGAAATAGAACGAATAATACTTTTTTGGGAGCAAAAATTAAAAATAAACTTTATTTATAACTATAAAACAATAAAGAATTATAATAAAACCACTAACGCATTTCACCTTATGTAAAGGCTTTTTCAAAATGTTTTGAAAAGCCTTTACATAAGGTGAAATGCATTAGTGATTTTATTATAATCCTTTATTGTTTATACACTTTTTGCAACATTTGTGCTTCTTCAGTTTAGCTCCAATGAGCTAACCAAACCAAGAAGTAACAGGACTAGTTGTCTGCTTGAAAAGCCAGGCGGTGTAATCAATTTATTTGTAAAAGTTAAATTTTTTTAATAAAATCTGCATTTTATCGAAAATGAAAAAAATAGACACACTCTTCACACATAAAGCTTTTCAGTAAGCTAAAGCATCACTTCCATTCTTCTCTGCCTCAAAGCTTCAACTACACATCTGCACCACTACAAGCTACAAAATAGTTTGCTGAAATTATGTCAAAGTTCTGGAAAATTTTGGTAAGATAAATACTTGAGGAGTCCTGTTCCATAGAACAAATGGAATTCAGCACCACAGAGCATGTGATAGACTATACTAAACTGTGTACTCCTGGGTGTTGTTCACCATGGGTGGCAAGTTTCTTTGCTGTATGGGTGGTAAGTGGTAACATCACCGGAACCTACCTCTCCCTGGACTACATCTCACTGAGCCACACAAAGCAGTGTTTCCCTTTAAGTTTGTCATTCTGAATTAATATTACAATCTAGTAGGACAAATAAATTGCATTGTAATCTCATAGGTATTTTAAAGGTCAAAAATGTAACAAGCAAAACTCCATGCAAAGCAAAATGTAAATAAACAAACTTTATTTGCACAAATAAAATAACTGATTTATTTTGTTCCATTGCTTCGTGCATTTTCTATTTAATTTACCTACTCACAGAGTGCCTACAACCTCTGCTGGGACTACACAGTTTTTCTATTTATTACAAATTAAATTGAAATGATTAGTATTACCCCAGAACACCTCCAAAATTACATGACATGATTATGTTAAAATTCATTACTGGGCATATTAGAGGCTTAATTAAGTTCACGGGCTCCAGTGATTTCTAGTCAAAATTGATCTTTTTTTTTTTTTTTTTTTACAAAAACAATCTTGCTTAAAAGACTAAATTAAAAATAAAATTAATAAAAATAGACCTGTTTTTTTAATGAAAAATGTTTTGGAGTATTAAAAAAATATATATATATATTTATGTATGCCTGTTGTTGCTGTTTTTACACCAAATATTTGCTTCTAAATATCTAGTGAATTTTAGACTTTTAAAGGAACATGTTATCATTAAACAAACCAATTCTTCCAGATCCATCAAGATTTAGGATCTCCATCCTGCCATTCTGTCCTGTCCTATCCAGGCAAAGTAAAGGTTATTATACAGTACAGGTATATCACTGAACATGTCAATGCTGCATTTGGTTATTCAAGGGCTTTTATACCCATGATCCCTAGTTGGGTAGTGTCATGCCAAAAGCATGAGTTGGTGTTTGATGTGTGTTTATATATGTTAAGAGTTGTTGTTTTTTTTTAAACCTTGGGATGACATTTATTGTGGTCTTTGATCTTGCACCAGGCTTAGATCATAAAACATCTAGAAACATAGAAACATAGAAACATAGAATGTGACGGCAGATAAGAACCATTCGGCCCATCTAGTCTGCCCAATTTTCTAAATACTTTCATTAGTCCCTAGCCTTATCTTATAGTTAGGATAGCCTTATGCCTATCCCACGCATGCTTAAACTCCTTTACTGTGTTAACCTCTACCACTTCAGCTGGAAGGCTATTCCATGCATCCACTACCCTCTCAGTAAAGTAATACTTCCTGATATTATTTTTAAACCTTTGTCCCTCTAATTTAAGACTATGTCCTCTTGTTGTGGTAGTTTTTCTTCTTTTAAATATAGTCTCCTCCTTTACTGTGTTGATTCCCTTTATATATTTAAATGTTTCTATCATATCCCCCCTGTCTCGTCTTTCCTCCAAGCTATACATGTTAAGATCCTTTAACCTTTCCTGGTAAGTTTTATCCCGCAATCCATGAACCAGTTTAGTAGCCCTTCTCTGAACCCTCTCTAAGGTATCAATATCCTTCTGAAGATACGGTCTCCAGTACTGTGTACAATACTCCAAGTGAGGTCTCACCAGTGTTCTGTACAATGGCATGAGCACTTCCCTCTTTCTACTGCTAATACCTCTCCCTATAAAACCAAGCATTCTGCTAGCATTTCCTGCTGCTCTATTACATTGTCTGCCTACCTTTAAGTCATCAGAAATAATCACCCCTAAATCCCTTTCCTCATAAGTTGAGGTTAGAACTCTATCAAATATTCTGTACTCTGCTAGCCATCACCAGAGCTGGACACAAGGAATTTCATAGAGTGGGCAATAAACTACCAGACCAACCCCCTTTGATCCCCCCAGGGGTCTTCCCACTGAGAAACAACTAGTTTAGATATATAATGAGGGTGCTGGACTATCCAGGGAGTTATTCATTTTTCTTTTGTCAGCAACTTCTAGGAGACCTATACCATCTAAGACTCCCACAAAAATTCTATATGGGGTAACTACATGTAAGGAATTTCTTGTGTTTTCTCCTATTTTATTTTATGTACTGTTTTGCAATTTGTCATCTGTATGTCATTTATTTCTGTATTTTGTACTCAGCACTGTGAATCTTTTTTGTCAGATTAAATGTTTACTTAATCAGCTTGTGTCTCTGTTCTTTCCAGAGGAAAGCTCAGGTTAAGACATTACCAAAAAGGGCTAATTATATGTGTTTGATCAGTAAAAGTAGAACTGTGATTCTATAATTCTCCTGTGTGTGGGGTAACCTAAGACGCCCGGGTTTAAAGTCTTGGTGGTGGCAGTAAAGTGTGTACTAGGGGGTTAGTGTAGAAGGGATTGCAGGGGTTGAGTGTTTGCTGGGACTAGCAACAGGTAACCAAGGGTCTGGTGTCATTAACCCTGTCACTTCCACACTCTCCCCACTGTCTCGGCTGGGCCTATAGCCCACGCTCGTGACAGGTAGCTTATAGGGCTGCCTATCTAAGACATTCCACTAGTACCATAAATGGCATTACCATCATGGATGAACTCAGATCCCATTCCCAATTCTTCCCAATGTTATAAAGCATGCATTTGTTTTCATTATTTCCTGTGTGGAACATAGCATATCTGGCAAAACTCGATATAATTCTATTTTTGATGATATAACCACTTATACAAGAATGCAAGTTATTCATAGATAGGGATAAACGTGACATGGGTTAAATCCTAAAAGCATAACCTAAAAATTATAAATTTCCAAGATTATTATTATTATAATTAATTTTATATAGCGCCAACAAATTCTGTAGCACTTTACAATGGGTAGACTAACAAATATGTAATTGTAACCAGACAATTTGGACACACAGGAAAAGAGGGTTGAGGGTCGTGTTTAATGAGCTTACATGCTAGAGGAAGTGGGGTAAAGTGACACAAAAGGTAAGGATAGTATTAGTAGATTGGTAGAATAGTATTCACTGAAGAAGTGCTTTTTTTGATTGTTTTTTAAATGACAGTTGCAGGAAAGGAATCAGTTGGGAGCCATTAACAGTTTAATTGATATGCTTTTGTAAAATAGTGAGTTTTTAATGATTTTTTGTAGGAATGGAGACTGGGTAAAAGTCTAACAGAAAAGGGAAGGAAATCTTGGAGGCAAGCATCAGAGATGGGAGTATGAACAGAGGATAGACGTAGGTCTTCGGCAGAGCATGGGGGCCTAGACGGGACATACTTGTGTATTAGGAAGAATAGATAGGTGGGAGTAGCATTATGTAGAGATTTGAAAGCAAGCACCAGAATTTTAAATTGAGCTCTATATTTTAAGGGAAGCCAATGCAGGGACTGACAGAGGGGTGAGGCATGGGAGCAAGATGAGCCTCGCCGCTGCATTCAATATAGACTGTAATGGGGCAAGCTGGGAGCACGTAAGACCACTAAGAAGCGAATTGCAGTAGTCAAGACGAGAGAGGACGATGGCATGGACTAGCACTTTAGCCACGTCCGGTGTTAAATAGGGGCCGATGCCCGCTTCGTTTTTTAGATGGAAGCTGCAGGATTTGGTGTTTTGACTGGACATGAGGGGTGAAGGAGAGGTCAGAGTCAAAGATAACACCTAGGCAAAGAGCCTGTGTGGTGGAGCTGATGGTAGCGCCATTAACATTGAGAGAGACAGAAACGGGAGTAGCAACACTTGAGGAAGGAAAGACTAGAAGTTCTGTTTTGGACAAGTTGAGCTTAAGGACGTGGGCAGCAGTCCAGTAAACAGAGACATTAGTCAAGAGGGGCATTGAGAGATCAGGAGAGGATAGTAAGATTTGCGTGTCATCCGCATAGAAGTGATATTGGAAACCACAGGAGCTGATGAGTTTACCAAGGGAGGCAGTTTATATCGAGAGCAGTAGGGGACCAATGACTTAATCTTGAGGGACACCAACAGAGATGGGTTGGGAGGAAGAGGCAGAGCTGGAGAAATAAACATGATGGTTGAGTTTTGGCCGGAAAATAAATCAGAAAAAAAAAATGACGTAAAAATAGGCCTGTCAGTTTACTTCATTTAACTTCATTAAACTGAAATTATCATGGATGTGAGAGTGTTCCTTTAACTTTATTTTCTTGTGGGTAATGTTCATGCATTTACAGCGAGAAATCCAAAGAAATGTATTCATTAATAATGTCCATGTGAAAATGCATGCATCTTGCTAGCATAAAAATCGGTCAAGAACAAAACTGTGTCGAACTATTTGCAAATGCAGTGAGTATGAACATTTCTAGCTATGAATTGTAAAACGTTTCACACTCTAATGTAACCCTGGAGGCTTTGGTATGAGAATTGGATACTATAGCAAACAAATAATTTAAAAACAATCCTATATAGTGTGTTTTGTAAAGTGATGTATAATGGACAAAAAAAAAAATCACTCTTCTACATGACCCAAAATGGTATCGTTGTCACAGTAGTTTAAATATATAACCCAATTTCTGAAACTAAAAAATGTCCGTGGAAGGGATCTGTTATTTTATTTTTTTATAGTATACATCTCTTGTAGACTTGTGCACAGTGAGAAACTA